ACAAAAGATCCTAACTGTGCTCCTGAGGGTATGCATACTGGTCAGTTCGTATACTTTGGTAAGAATGCTAATCTATCTATTGGTAATGTATTACCTCTTGGCAAGATGCTGAGGGTACAGTTATTTCCAACATTGAGGAGAAGATTGGTGATCGTGGTACTTGTGCTACTACTGGTGGTGCTTCTGGTATTGTTGTTGGACATTCTGATGATGGTAGTAAGACTCGTATTCGTCTACCATCTGGTGCCCGTAAGACTGTTAGTAGTCAATGTCGTGCTATGATTGGTATTATTGCTGGTGGTGGGCGTCTTGATAAACCTGTTCTTAAGGCTGGTAATAACTTCCATAAGTATCGTGTTAAGAGGAATTGCTGGCCTAAGGTTAGAGGTGTTGCTATGAACCCTGTTGAACATCCTCATGGTGGTGGAAACCATCAGCATGTTGGTCATCCTACTACTGTACCTCGTGGTGCTCCTGCTGGTCAGAAGGTTGGTCTTATTGCTGCCAGAAGAACTGGTCTCCTTAGAGGTGGTAAGGCTCTTAAGTAAGGAATGATGATGATGTATTGATGTTGTTATCGCCATTGTTGATCCACTCAATGATAACAGATGATAATAATAGTATCCCTGTATCGCCACCTACCTTGCTCAACTCGAGTATTGTGTTAGTAGTAATAGTAGTGAGTCCATAGTGATTTCAGTGGTGTTGGTCGTGACTAATAACCTTCGTAATAGCATTCACGCACTTGATAATGAGGTGATCATAATCGTATCATATCCAGGCAGAAGAATGCTTAGTACTGACTGATACCGCGGCTAATTTGATGATTATATTAATAGACGTAGTTGATCTCATACCTGCTCAGCATTATTACTATGCATCATCAACAGTAGCTCCATGGACGGGGTTCACTTGAACATTATACATAATAATATCAGTCATGATAGTATTTCGAACAAGCATCAACATCCTAGAGGAATAACTTGGCGTAGTAGGTTCTGTGTGAAGGAAGTAATGCGTTACTAACTAGGGAAAGGTAATAATGTTGATTACCATCCTGCCTACTCCTGTATATTAGTGGGCCTGTTTCACAAGGATACTTAATTTAAGGCGCCTTAAATATAGGAGCAACTTAAGGAGCTACTTAAGGTATACTTAAGAAGTACTCAACTCATTTCACAACGTTTAGGAGCAACTTAAGGAGCTCCTTAACTTAAGGTGTACTTAAGTATCTACTTAACCATGGTTACAGGTATAGAATAGAGTTACATTTAAACTTTTATGGTGTAAATGCTCGAGTGGTTAGGTTGCCCATTCACTATACGGTCGACGCAGATTCGAATCAGAGGTATGTTGTTTCCGTGGTCGTTTACTGTTTCGCATTGCGAAATTAGCAACTACTCTCCTCGATCATGGATAAGGTATCAGTGGTAAGTTACCATTGATAACGAGACTGCAAGGGGAGCTGCATTCCCACGAATTACTATGTTAGCTAAAAATTCTTGCCTAGAATAAGTCACTCAACGGTCCGCTAACTTAGCGCCGCTAAGTGGAAAATATACCCATGTGAACTCAACGGATACGCAAATCATCGAAATATAACTAAGTCGCTGCAACTATCTGCGAACGTAGCTCTTACGAAGAGCGTTCCCGACACCATCCACGGGAGCATCTGGGTCAATCAGAGTTATTCGAGATGACTGTGATTGGCCCAGATCCTCATCTCCTGCTCACAAGCAGCGAACATTGCCTCTTCGACGTTTTGCAGTGGCTGATTCTTAAAGCCTTCAAGTTAAAGGTGATCATATTGTGAAGTTCGGTTCGGATTTTGCTGCGTCAAAGAAATGAACTCTTGGCTCGATTTCTTTGCCTCTCTGGACAAGTGGGAGAGCACCGTGCTGCCATTCGTAAGGTCTCCGGTTCGACCCCTGCGAGATACAATATTCAAGCATCGTCCTTCGAAGGGTCCCTGGTTCAACCCCTGTGGGGTGCAGTATTCGAACACGGTACTTAAGTATCTGTTTAGGTAGGGTCGGCTCTACCTTAATTAAATTTAAGAATACTTAAGT